CCATATTTTTGTAGTAGCTATCCATGTTTCATATTGTCGTACGTGCATGAGTGCTGGGTATTTTAAGAACAAGCATTTGCTGCACTGCACACAACACTCGTCAATCGACCAGGAAGCAGGGAGAACTAACCATCTATCCATGGCGGCTCTTCACTTGGTGCACGTAGTGTACCAGTTCATGCTGGCGGCCGCTACGCCTCTAGCACAACGGCCACTTTGGTTCGTCGTCGTGCCTCTAATGCTAGTGCTGTTGCCTGTCATCTGCCGACGCCTCCACCACCGCCCCAACGCCGGTGACGACGAGAGGAAGCAGTCGAAGCCTCTCCTGCCGTCGCCTCCGGGGAGGCTGCCGGTCATTGGCCACCTGCACCTCATCGGCGACATCCCACACGTCTCCCTCCGTGACCTCGCCACCAAACATGACCGTGGTGGCGGCCTCATGCTCCTCCAACTCGGCACCGTCCCCAACCTCGTCGTCTCCCCCACACGCGGCGCAGGCGGTCCTCCGGACGCACGACCACGTCTTCGCCTCGCGGCCGACGCCCAAGGTCTTGCACAACTTCCTGTACGGGTCGTCGACCATCGCCTTTGGACCCTACGGTGAGCACTGGCGTATGGTTAGGAAGCTTGTCACCACGCGCCTCTTCACCGTCAAGAAGGTGAACTCGTTTCACCATGCCCGCCAAGAGGAGGTAGCTTATTATCATTATTATATGTATAATAGGGTATGAATGAGAATGCATGAATTGCGATGAAATTAATGTTTCACTCATATTGTTACATATACTAATATGTATATACTAGCTAGGTGCGCCTGGTGATTGCCAAGCTGAAGAAGGCCATGGCTACAGGCATGGCAGTGGACATGAGCGAGACGATGAACACGTTCGCCAACGACATCATGTGCTGCGTGCTGTCGGGCAAGTTCTTCAGGGAAGACGGCCGAACAAGACCTTCCGGGAGCTGATTGAGATGAATGTTGCCCTGTATGCAGGGTTTAGCCTAGAAAACTATTTCCCAGGGCTTGTGAATTCGCTAGGTATCTTCACCAGGTTGGTGAGCAGAAAGGCGGACGAGACGCATGAAAGATGGGACGACGTGCTTGAAAATATCATAAGCGACCATGAGAGGCGAGCTGAGCAAGAAGAGAGTGCAGACTTCGTTGACCTGATGCTCTCTGTTCAACAAGGGTACAGGTATCACCAGAGATCATATCAAGGCCATCTTGATGGTGAGTAACTATTAGGTACCAATATCAACTTTTTCTTTAGAGATCAAAATAGATCTATCCTAGATTGTGTCATTTTCGATTGACGTACTTATCCTAAATTACCCACACCCAGGACCTGTTTGATGCGGGCACGGGCACATCATACTTGACGCTTGAACTTGCCATGGCTGAGCTCATGCGCCACCCTCATATCATGACCAAGCTACAAGCTGAGGTCAGGAACTAGACACCAAATGGACAGGAGATGGTCAAGGAAGAGGACCTAGCTAGCATGGCCTATCTGAGAGCCGTGGTGAAGGAGACGCTAAGGTTACACCCACCTGCTCCACTGCTCTTGCCTTACCAATCTATGGTGGACTGTGACATCGATGGGCATACAATCCCTCTGGAACTCGAGTCATCATCAACGCTTGGGCTGTCTGTAGACATGTAGAGTCGTGGGAGAAAGCAGAGGAGGAGTTCATGCCGGAGAGGTTCATGGATGATGGTAGGGCTGCAGCCGTCGACTTCAAGGGAATGACTTCCAGTTCATACCATTTGGAGCTGGTCGAAGGATGTGCCCTGGCATCAACTTTGGGTTGGCCACTGTTGAGATCATGCTGGTAAACCTCATGTACTGTTTTGATTGGGGGCTGCCGGCTGGTATGGACAAGGAGGATATTGATATGACAGAGGTTTTTGGATTGACTGTTCACCGAAAGGAGAAGCTCATGCTCGTTCCGAAACTACCTGGAAGCGCTTGCTGCGCATAATCTGAGGCAGGATGCTCTGTAAAAGATATGCCTAGTATGATTTTTGAAGTGTATGGCCTGCACGTGAATTTGTGTACCTGTTGTATGTATTTTGCGGGGTTACCTAGTTGTATGCATAGTCAAGAAAAAAAGTTGTATGCACATATGTATTGCACGCATGTCCCTTCAAATATATATGAAGCCACAGTATGGATTGTTCAAAGCTGTGAACAATATATTTTTACATAAAGGAAGCTTCTAAGAACATCAAGATGCATCAAGATCATAAAACCGTTCTAAAAGTACTCTGGTCTCTCCAGAACTAAGATGATGCCTACAGCTTTAGCATAAAGGTAACACACCAAAAATAAAAAGTCAAACAGGTAGTGCTAAGAAAGCTAATGCCGGCAACCGGTTCCTTACTCCATGTCATACACAACCTATGTGATGTCCAGAAACATCCAACTCTTCATATCACACAAAGCCCATATGATGATTCAGAGACATTCATGGGCTCTCCTCCCTAGTACAGAAGTATCTTCCATTAACACCTCATTTTTTTTTCACTGGCCACAGAATGAAAGCAGGTGCTACTACCGAGCAGTTTGTGGGCATAATTTCATGTTTGTCTCTTCGTTCATTTTCTAACACAATAGGGATAATAGATATATACTACGTAGTAACTATGCAGTTTTAGTAAAACTTATCAATTACAGACCTACATGTTTTATGACTCATATACATAGATTTTTTCCATTGCATATCACATCTGTGTATCATTAATATGCATTACTTGACTCCTTAATTAAAACTGTGGTGGCTCTTGTTGCGGCCCCATGGCTTATGTTGTCATTTGATTTTCATAATTTAATCTTGTTGATTGGTATATATTTTTTAATCCTTAAATTAATTTGGAATTCTTGTGCATCTTTCATGAATATTTACTGATTTAGAGGATTCTATTAGCAACCTATTTACTGATAAAGTATGCTGACCCTAGAACCATGATCAATATTACATATAAATAAGTAAAATAATGGGAAGTAAAAAATTCTGAAACATAAACCAACATAAACATAGCCATATTAATATAAGCATGCGAGGATCTTGGTCGATCTTAACCATAAGCATGACTGATATATCAGTTTTTAAACACACTGCAGGTATTGCACACTTCACCAACAATTGACATGGAAATAGTTTGCATCAGAAGTTAAGCCAAAGAATAAAAATGAAGTAAACCACGGACGACAAGTGGAGATACTAAAAAGGATTCAGGGACTAATAACCATATACTAGTAAATATAAAAGACGAAGTTGGGTTGGCATAGCTAAATGTGTGTTGGGTTTGCATGGTTGCTGTAGTATGCTTTGTTAGCCCAACTGCTGTGCTCTGTATAGCTAGCTGTTGGGACAAAGGCACGTACAATGACTTGGTTGTCACGTGGCGGACCCAGTTTTTTTTTTTTTTTTGCTAAGTGAAAAAAAACTGCGTCCCACTCACATTCCCATGCCGCAAGTGGATGCATGCCGTAGTGGTGGCAACAGCAATAGCAAGCATGCCTGCATGCAGCGGCAGGTGGCTCGGGCTTGGGGAGCCCCGGGCTACGGCCGGAAGAGGGGCGTCGCTGGAGCTACGGCGGCAAGCATGTGGTGCTCGGCCGCCGGGAAAAGGACACGATCTCATTGGGAAAGGCATCACAAGACGGCTCATCGAGCATGTTCTCCGTACGTGGAACGAGCTCATCCTGAACCAAGGCCCGATGCCGCCCGTGTGTCGCTTTCTAGCTGAGCTCGTCGTGTCGATCAGCACGTATAGGCGGAGCCAGCACTAGGGCGAGTTAGGGCGGCCACCCTAGGTTCCTCTGGCCGGGCACCCATTCACACCCCACAAAGCTATCAGCCGGTTAAACTCAGTAGCACCTCATCTTTTCCTCTCAATCTCCATGCACTACTAAAAAAGGATCTGTAGCAACGCCTATTTTTTAGGTGTGACTCTATATTGAGCCGTCCCTAGTGTCCAATTAAGCCGTTCCTACAAATAGACACTGAATAGTAAAAATTAAGCACTAAAATTCGAATTTTTCAAAAGAACCCGGATCAAGAAATGATCAAAATAAAAGTTGTATATTTTAAAAAGTTATGAAACTTTGTTATTTATAACTTTTTTATTTGAAATCATTTAGTACGTCAGAATGATCGGCGGAGCTCAGCGCCTCGGCAACAATGGGTGACTAGCGGCGCCTTCGTTTTTGTGCATGTGGGTGATTGGATAAGAATGAATCGAAGAGGCATGGGCTGGCGTGGAACTGTGTTTGGCATTGGGCTGTGTATAGACAGTTTGAGACTAAAGGCCAATTGGCCACTATCATGTTTCTAACTAGGGCCCCCAAGACGGGCTCAGCAGGCCGGCGGGAGCCCAGGACCGAGCCTCGGCCAGACGCCAGAGGCACCCTGCACAGGGCAGGGAGGTGCACGTCTAGGGGGTAGCGCCGCCACTACCCTCGATCTCTCAACATCTAAGGAGATCTTAAATCTTTTACAACTAAAAAAATAAAAATAAAATAAATTTTTAATACGACTTTTTTGATCGCTCTCTTCCCATCCGTGCGATACCGCGTCCCCCGCCTCCCGCTCCCTCCCCTCCCCTCAAATCACGCTCCATCCCCTCCAATCACGCTCCCTCCCTTCCCCATGCGCGCACCCAAGCCGCCGTCGCCTCTCCCACGTTCCCTCCCCCTCCCCACGCTCCCCTCCAAGCCAGCCCCGCCTGGCAAGGCCATCCGGCCGCGTCTCGCCGCGGCGGGCACAGCAGGCGACTCCTCCTCGTCCCGCCTCCCTGTCGGAAGACGACGCCGTCACCGCGGCAAGGGAGCACAGCATAGCTCGCTCGCTCTGGCGCCCTGCGAGCAGCAGCAGCACCCCCGCTCCGCAGCCCCGACCTGCCCTCTCCCTCAATCTCACTCTCCTCGCGGACCTCCACACGCACTGCGGCGGCGTCCTCACTGCGTGAGGCGGCAGGGCTTGCGACGGCGGAGATGGCGGAGGCCCAGGTGCCGCTCGCCTACCGCGACCAGTGCGCTCACCTCCTCATCCCGCTCAACAAGTGCCGCGTCGCTGAGTTCTACCTCCCCTGGAAGTGCGACCCCGAGCGCCACGCCTACGAGAAGTGCGAGTACGAGCTCGTCATGGAGCTGATGCTCAAGATGCAGAAGATCCGCGAGGCGCAGGAGGCCAAGGTCAAGGGCGGCGCCTCCATTGGCCTCATCCTGCCACCGCAAAGCTCGCCTGATGCGGCCCCGGCCCGATCCGTTTGATTTAGGTGAGCTCCAACTCCGTCACGCCGTTTTGAATTTCTTTTCTTCGGGATTTAGCTCGGCTGCTGTGACTGAGTTCGTGATTTGGATGTGAAGGCCACATATTGTCTCGGGTCCTTAGGGATTCCGATTGGGTGAGTGGCGTGCGCCCTTTTGTCAGGGGAAGCGACATTGGGCGGGTGATCCGTCAGCTATGGCGTGGACATTAGTTAATTTGTAGACATTCTAGATTAAGCTCCTGACTGAATGGTTAGGGTTTTCAGGAGCTGCTGTAGCCGAGTAGCACTTGTAGAGCTAATTTAGGTAGGGTGAACATAGAAATGTGACTCTTGATTCCTGGGAGCATGATGCTAGCTTGCTGCGAATATTAAGAATTTGCGACATGAAAATCAAGCCACTGGTATACATGAACATCTCATACCAGTCCAGATTTTTTTGCTGCCCAGTGCCAGCTGCAGTTCCAACCATTATGCTGTTGTATAGTCCATAGGTTTTTATATTTTGAGTTGTGATGTTCATGTATCATGAGTACACAACAGTGCTAAAATGTTCAGAGGTCAGTCTAGCTGGTAGGAAGCTTAATGGAACTTCATGATATCTGCCCTGTGACCTGAATTTTTAGGGCTCCCAAACCACCTCAAATTGGTTACAGATTCTAGATTACTGTTTGGTGATATTAGAACTAGAACTCTATTATGGCTTGTAGCTCCTCAGGACACTGGAAGAAACAGTGGTTTAGCAAGGCCTAGATTTTTGTTTGTTGAACCAATTTTGGTATCGGAAGCTTTGTGCAATTAAAGCGGACAATGTACAGAGTTAGCAATTTAGTTTAGCTATGCAGGCATGTCATTCCACAACGAGACCCTCAACGTCTAAATGTACGTAAACTCTCTCTGCCCTACTCTCCTTAATTAATGGTTCTATATAAATTGTTGTTTGTTCCAATTGATGTTAGCTACGTTGGGAGGAACGGGATATCGATTTTGGTCGTGACTCTGATTGCAATGCGTTCAATTGTTTGGTACATGAGATTTCTGGGCGTTTATTTCCTGCTTGTGCATAATCCTTGTGTATATTTCAGAATTAAGATTCATTATTATGGATTGGCGAAATATATTGAATTTTGTAGTTTCATTCTTTTAGCTGGTTCAGGAACACGTTTGGAATCAGAAAGGTCAACTTACAGTCTTTGTTCTTTTGGTTCTTTTTATTTGCATGTTGTTGAATGCAAGTACATCAACCAGTTTAGAGAAAGCAGGACACTGACTTAACTTAGCATCCCACCTACTCAATTTGAAGTCTTCCTTCAGGTCAGTTAATACCTTTCCATCAGGTTCAGCATAACATTCAAAAAAAAATCAGATAGGGGTTCTTGGCTGTGGGTTATGTTACAGTGATTTTTTTGTTCGTTGACTCTGCAAATTGTGAAATTTATTTGTTGGTCTAATCCAATTCAACAATGAGGCAGGAAGGTAAATTGAGGTGTGATGTTAACTTCCTTCTTCTAAATGTTCAACGATGCTTTCTTGTACTGAAATATTTGCCTTAGATTTGGATAGCTGAGATGAGATATAGCTGAATATTCCTTGCTGTTAGCTGTTTGCTTGCTTCTGGTAACCGCAGGGAGAAATTATTATTGTGGGCTAACCTATTCATCATTAACTAAAAATAGGCCACATTATGTGTTGCTTTGCATGTTGTAACACTAATATTTTCCATCTTTAAAGATTAGTACTAGAGTTTCATTGATTATTACTAGAAATTCATCCGAACTTCAGTGGTTCAGAGAAATTTAGTAATTTTGCATTTTAGCCAACTTGTCCCTATTGTTCATCTCCCTCCCACCGTCCCCTGCTTCCCATCCACCTCCCTCCCCTGCTTCCCCAGCTGCTCCAGGAATAATCTCATCATCATTAGTTCCATCTCCTTCATCAATTGATTGGGTTCCTCGAGCCTGCAACAATTCTCTACAACTCTGTTCACTGCCCATGAGTATCGTGCTGACAACAATGCCATGAGCATTGTTCTGATTGAGTGAGTGACTGAGGATAAGGCCAGCAGGATTTATATCAGATTTGAGAGTTGAATCTTAAAATTGATTTTGATATGAATGGTATGCCCAAATAGAAGAACATGGTTATAGAATTTTTGAGAAGCTCGCATCCTCTGAATATCTGTTGTCAGAAAGTCTGCAATTCTAATATTGTTGGTAAATAAATTGTCAAATATATTGTTTTACCCAGCCCACTTAGACTGTAATATTTTTATTAGTTTATATCTCTAACCGTCTGATTTTGCCATTCCCCTGTCTTCGATTGGTGTCAGCACTTCATATGGGCAGTGACTTAGAAGATAAAGCTTTAAATTCTTTTTCCCTCAAAAAATAATTTGTAGCCTACGTGTTTTTCAATGGTCAGGATGAAGACTTCTACTTGGTAGATCCTCATGAAATGATATATTTTTGATTCTTTTTTCATCAATATAGATTTGGAAGTCGAGAAAAAAGTGTCTGGTGTGGATTCTATGGTGCGGGCGAGGACAATGGCGTGGGCGATATAGCGCAGACCTGACAAGCGCGAGGGCAGAGCGAGGGACGGAGGGGAGATGGATCCCGGCGAGGGCGGGCGGTCGTCGTGGATCGGGCGGCGCGCCTTCGATGGGCGCGTAGGCGCGGCCGCTGTGGGGCGGCGGCTGCTGCGCGCTGCAGCGGTGTAGTGCGAAGCGCCGGGCAGGCGGCCGGGCGAAGCGTGCGGAGACACAATCGCTTAGCACCAGGCGATGACAGCGAGGACTGCCCGGGATGGTGATGGCGGGGTGGTGGATGAGGGCAACCAGCGTGGAAAGAAGCTGTCTGCGTCACGGGATCGCGGGGATGGTGGTGTCCTTATCTACCGTCTGGGGGATCGCTGGGGTAGACCGACGAGGTATGCGGGTTTGGTGTCGCACCTGTGGGCGGAATAGTTATCAATGTTTTAGTTGTAGAGAATTATGTCTACAGGCATCCTCAGTAATGTTGAGCAGTCAAGAAACCTCAAGAGTAGAAAATATGGTTCCAGATGAGACTGCTGATTGGTTGCACACAAATGATTCATACAACATGCCACATGCAACAAAGACCTCAAAGTGTTGGGTACCGCGTACAATTGTCCAGTGAATATCATTTTATACATATGCTATTTCATAAAGCGGATATGCTACATTTGTTGTAACTATTGAATTTCATTTCTACAAGTCATGTATTTCAATTCAGCTTCATTGACATCTATTTCAATTCTGTTTAATTGATTGGGAGTAATCTCTATTGATATACACCGAAGCATGTTTGATTTAGCTAGCATCTCCAAGTGAATATAATATGATCAAATATACATAAATATTTACAGAAACCTCCTTTGATTTGTATATGAGGAAATGCTAGTAGAAATTAGCCTTTATTCAGGAAATACCACATTAGTTGGTGATTGTGCCGTCACAACACCCTCATCCAAGAATTCATGTACGATGAAGTTAACAAACGAGCAGCGTAAAGCTAAGTGTGCCAGGGAAAGAGAGCGCTATGCATGTATGACACCTGAGCAAAGAGAGGCTAAACGTGCACGTTAAAAAAAATGCACAATTGCCGAACTCAGGAGCAGATTGAAGCAAAAAAAAGAAAGAAAGTAGAAGGGTATCAAATATGATGGCTGAGCAAGCGCACGCAAAGCGAGATAAGAAAAGGATGGAAAGGCATTGTTGGCGCAACACTCTGAACAGCGATTCCATTGGGGGGCAGTTGCTAAATGGCTCCATTACTGTACTGGTTTTTCGATTGTGGTCCTCTCTCTTCAATTGGATTAGTCATGGAACGCTCCAAATTGTCAAAAATTCCTAAGATCTTGGAGCAGGTGACGAACAATCTGTTCGTTACCAAGCCCGAGCTGGAGGAACAACTTACAGCAACGCTACCTCTACTGCTCTCCCCGCCGACAGCAGATCCAATTCAGCCAGAAATCCAAACACCAGACGCACCGATCACGCCCAAAGTTCAGATACCGTCAGGAGAAAGTGACGCCTGCCAGATTGTCAACGACGGGTACACATCAGGTGGCAAATCCGGGGCGCCCACCACCGACGCCACCAAACTCATGGATAGCATACAGCACCACAACGCCAACTCCGACACTTGCCTGAACAATTTGGTACATGGAGGATCTGAGACGGATACCGACGTCAACACGACATCCACGGCAAAACAGAAACGAGAGATTGCTGCCAAGAAATTCATGACCAAGAAAAAGGCAGAGCATACTTTCCCCCAGGACAAAATTAGATAGCTCAAAATTTTGGGGAAATCCTAAAATCAAGGGAAAGGTGACGAACGATCTGTTCGTCACAAAACCAGAGGAGGTAACACCTATGACAATGTTACGACCTCACCACCCGATAACAGATCTGAAGAAGACTTTAGTCAGAATCACCTGACAAGGAGCAGCAGGACAACAGAAATCCTGATTGGCCTAGCACAAGAGCAGCAGGAGACGCCCCACAAGGATAGATCTACAGGCGCTCAAACTGACAACGTGCTGAATGCAACCATACTCGTCGGCAACACCATCTGCAAGACAATAACATCTGGACTCCAGCCATCAACATACAATGACAAAAGAGGGCAGAAAAAGTTCCGCCATGCAAAAACTACAGATTTTGGCCCTTTCAATGGATGTGTACAACACAGATGTCACACACGGCACTCCATGGTTGGACCAACTTGAACCGAACCACAGGAACTTCGATGCAAAGGAGATCTGCGTCAAAAGAGTAGTTACACAGCCTTCAATATCGGAACAGCACTGGCATAACCACAAGCAACGCCTTCAGCACATGGCAACTACACCTCACCAGCTCCGAAACAACCTAGGTAGCCAGCTACAATATACCCCCACATACATAGATATTACTAATGGGTGAAGGCGAACCCTGCCCTGTTATCAACATCCATGGAACACTGGCAGTTCACCGGA